ATTTTCCTTCTAAATATAAAGACTTCTATTTCTTCTTCTCTCTTATACTTTTATTTATTTATTCCTCTATTATCCCTTTATTTATTAAGATAATACTACCCTAGTCATTATATAGAACCTCCCTTAATAGATCCTTTAATAGTCATAGTAATCTATTGTTTTTCTTATTGCCCTATTATACCTCATGCTCACACGAGATGTTGATTGGGCCTCATGCGATGATCTCACGGATCCAGAGACCCCAGTCCTCGAGTCGGCGATTCAGTGCCCCAGCCTTTATATTTTAGGAGTCTCGATTTGACTAGCTAGCATTTGCGTTGCATTCCAAGTCCACTGAATACGCAAACATCTATCATCCAATTCGTGCTTAATACTTTGAACCCCGCATAAAACATATGCCCTCTATCTCCTAGGGAGACAGACAATGGCAGCCCGAGCTAGACTCAATGTCCAGACCTTTCCCCGGCCGCCCCTCGTCGAGAAGATATCGTGGCACATTCAAATTAAATGGAAAGGGACTGTAACAGCAGAGACGAAAGACGCCTACTGGGTGCTCGAGACGCACCACCCGCCCAGTTCGTTGCGCCGTTCCCTAGCCTCGTCTTTCCACTTTCACGTGCTATTCAAGACTACGTGGAGACACAGACTCGCAAGTGACAGCCCACTACATCCCACCCGACGCGATGAAGGTCAACCTCGCCAACACGCGGCGGAGCATCTACTGCGAGTGGAAGGGCGCGGCAATCTACTACGCCGCCGCAGCCCCCGGTACGGGCGAGACCGTCTCGAACCGCATCTGGTCCTATGACAGCCCGTCGCGGGGTTTCGAGCCGATCCCGGGCTACCTCTCGCTCTACGCGGGGCCCTGGGAATGCTTCGTCGACGGGGAGCTCGTCGAGGCGCAGCCGGGCGACTTTTACGGTGGGTGGGTGACCTCGGAGATCGAGGGCATCGTCAAGGGGCGGAACGGCAATTTCGACCCCGACATTTAGTCCGCGAAAGCTGAGCGTTGGGCCATCTGGGGACGACGGCAGGGCGATACCAAGATTGGCGAGGGCGGGGGTGTCAGGCCTCAGCCGAATCCAGTTGTCACATGGCCCTGCCTACTCCCGAGCCAAGCACAGCGCAGCGCATCACAGCTCGCCCGCGTGGTCCCCTCATCGCTTGTAGGCAGCCAGGCAGGTCAGACGCAGCAATCTCAAGTTTTGTTTTCTGCCCTCCCTGCTGTGGATCGAGCGGAGAGCAGCCTGCATAAGATGGGTTGAGGAGGAGGGGCCTTCGTCGAGCCAAGTCTCTTGACACTCGGTCGTCGGCAGCCATCTCCGTCAAAGTTAGAAGGGGGAAAAGAGCGATGAGCCAAGTCTCTTGACACTCGGTCGTCGGCAGCCATCTCCGTCAAAGTTAGAAGGGGGAAAAGAGCGATCGTGGAACCTCACGTGGCCCATCGGTAGTCTGAAAGAGTAAGGCACCTAGCTCACCCCGCGTTTTGCTCCGTGACCCAGTTCGTTGAAGGCGCACAGGTCGTTCGTCTCGTCTCGCCTGGCCCTCGTCTCGTCCCGCGAAGCGACGGCAACGGGTTTCCGGGATGGCATGGAGGGCCATGGCCCCTGGGCCTGACAGTACTCGTCAAATGGGAGATTGCATGGATGCCGAGAAGGGTGGCTCCATTGCCCAGCCGATGTGCGAAGGGGAGAAGTGTGTGTGTGAGTCGAGGGTGTGGTACGGAGGGAGTCCAGGGAGATTTCCCCGTCGCCCTTCATTGACCCGCCGCATCAGATTGGGAGGATATGGGGAGAGGCCTATCTGGGCCTGGTCTTCGCTTCCTTTCGCGGGGAATGCGGGGACGGAAGACGGAAGATGAGGCTCCCCCTCTTCTCCTCCCCTTCTCCCCTTGTTCCCTTCTCCCCTTTCTCTCTCCCTCCTCCCTGGTGGCGTGCCCTGCTCTGGTCTGTCGCCCCCCCCTTGAAAAGCCCTCCACTCACACATCCAAACCCAAGCGGCCGAGAGGCGCCGTGAATCTGCACTGCACTGCACTTGCAGCGGCCCTCTGCCGCAAGGGGAATGAGGGGAAAGAAGGGGAAGGTCGAGGATGAAGTGACGGGGGCGAGGCGTTGATCGCAGGGAGCACGATATGGAGCAAGAGGAATGGAATGAGATAGTCCGACGTGGACAAAGCCCACTTGCCATTTTGCCTGCATCCCTCAGCAGCCAGCCAGCAAGCACGAAAGAATACTGTCTGTGACGACAGACTAGGCGCTTGCCGATTGCAGGGCGCTATTGGATGAGGCAATGGGATGTTCCAAAATTCGTCCTAACATGTAAGCGACGCACAAGAAATAAATAGTGTCCAGCCCCAAATCACAGAAAACCAAAAACAAGACAACGAAGAGGACCAGCCCCCACGTCGCACAGGCAGTGATCAACCTTGAAAAGAGAGATGCCCCTGAAGATGCTCACACCATCGGCGGCTCATCGGGCAACGCCCAGCCGATGCACTGAACGGCTGCATTGGGGTTATTCTGGAGACCGGCGAACAAGCTGAGGCCTTGTTTTGCTGGACGTACATGTACGTGATGGCAAGCGAGGGAGGGGGACCAGAAGCCACTGGCCAGAGAGATGGCCGACCAAACGTGGAGGGCTCTTTGTCATGTCCGGTGGGCGGCGGAGAAGCTGGCGGATCCGCCAAGTTGCGTCATGATGCAGTCCAGAGGAACAGGCGCAGCGGAAGGAAGCCAAAGGAATGACGGTGGTCACAGAAAAAAGACATGGCGCTCTCTGGGCCCGTCGATTCGATTATCAACGATTCAAGGAAACACGGAGAGAGAGTGTGTGGCGTGTGCTGACAGCGGGTCAATCGGGAGGGGAGCGGCGCAAGATGGCATGCCGTCGGTTTGCCGTCGCCCGTCTGCCGTCCGCCAGCAAGCCTCCAGGCTCAAGCCATGCGTGGCCAAGGTAAGGTAACGGCCTGGCGTGGAGGGAGGATGAATGGTTTGATGGACGCGAACAGGAACGAAGACTGGGGAACAGGTTGCGTAAGATGTCGTGGTATCGGATGGGTTACAGGACGACATAACCTTTGCTCTTGAGCGAGGGACCCGCCCAACTCGCTATACGATGGCGCGATGGTGCAGATGGTGCTCCACTGGCCAGATTCCGTATTCGTGCCTAAATAGAAACACACAAGAAAGATAGGGGGGGCTTGGGGGCCATCGACTTCTATGGAGATCCATGGATCTATGGATCCTTAGACCCACCGCGTCAGTTGCAATGGTGAAGGCATCCTCGGGGCGACAAATGGTCATTTCCGCCGCCTTCGGCCTCGGCGGCGATGTGATGCGAAGAAAGGTTGATTTGATTAATTGCTTTGATGGGCAATATTCCTTTGCCCCCAACGAAGGTTTGAGGTAGAACAAACCTTATGGTGAAAGGGGGATCTGGTGAAAGGGGGAAGGGCACTTTGACTACATGTACAGTACTAAGCACATGGTACATGGTACATCTCTGTGAGGACGGGCTGACAAGAGTCAAGCCCACACGACCGTCTCAGTCTGGTGAAACGGGCAAACGCACGTTGAACGGGACGCATGAAAGCCGTCATGTCAGTTCCTTTTTTTAAACTCGAGCGGGCGACGATCGGTGTGTGGATGGCGCGTACTTGGTATGCGCTGTTGGAGCAGGTTGATGGCGGGATGGATCCTTTGCAACCGGTGCCCAAGTGCCTACCTATAGATACATGTACCTAGGTACCTTGGTAAAGCAGGTGGTGACTTGGCTGCTGCTAGCGGCTTGCTGGCTGACTGCTCACCACAGCTGAGATGGCTGAGGTCATGGCTGACGTGCAGTTCAGCGCTGGGTCCCTTAGCCACTGGCGCGTTCCGTACCCGCTCTGGCGCAACAGGCCAAACCACAAAGCCGTGGCTACCTGCTAGGTCTGTTTTTTAGTGCCTCCAGAACCTTAGCATGATACCGTACCTATCAGTACCTACCTCCCTATTCAGGATCCCACTCTGATAGAGTTCTTCCTGCTGGGTATACCGTCGACACCTAAGAGGGTAGGCACTAAGAGGATGGAACCCATGAACTGATACCAAAAGGCGAGACAACGCAAACTCACGCGTTATTTCGCCCAGACCAGTAAGGAGGCTCGTCAGATTGCAAGTCAATCTCGCACGTGAAGGACCCTGGAGATCATCCTTGAGGATGATCACGTTTGAGGGGCCTGGGGCGAACTGGATCGAGTCGAGGTCCCTGACTACTGTACTGTACCGTGCCTACAGAGAGAGAGGCGAGGGGCCCTGGCGCTCCGTGCTCTTCAGGGGCCCGTCCATGCTGCTGTGGCAGGTCGAAGGCCCTGGGAGGGGGCGAGGTTGGTGCTGATTACAGGTGTTTCTGGCCCGTGGGGCTGTTTTGTCCCTTTTGGCCCGTGTCCGTGGAATCCCATTTGGCCGTTGCGAGTCTCCTTCCGCGAGCGCAGATCCGACATTGCCATTGGTCGCTCGCTCCTTCCCACGACCGGCACCACACAGCGAGGACTCCGCCCCCCTGCAGCTGGCCCTCCAGCCTCAACCCTGCTCCGCCGGTGGCGGCCCCTTCCCGGAGGCCAAGGGAACCTCTCCCAACACCCCTGCTACCTGTCTCCTTTCTGCCTGTCCTCTGCTGCCACTGCCCCCAGACACGGACCACACCCTTGCGGCCGCCTGGGCCAGAGCTTCCGTTCCTGCCTCAGGCACACATACCCACACGCCCGCAACCCTCCCCTTAGACCCCCCCCCCTTTCGAGTAGGGCCCCCAACGCCTGCCCCCCCTTGATTCAAACGTAGCCTTCGATCATAAAGAGGCCACATCGCCCTTTCTGAAGTCCGCTCCAGAGCACCTGACGAGACAAACCGACCACCGTGTCCTTTTCCCTTTTCCACTACTGCCTTGAGGATTACCTCATACCTCCTCCATCGTTGAGTCACTTCATTGGCTGACTCATTCATCGAGTCGCTTCGTCCATCATGTGGTCGATCTAGGCAGCCAGATCTATCCCTTATTTGTATTGTGAGGTTCGGACGGCATTCCCACCACATGCAAACAGCAACCACCAGCCAAGAAACAGAAAGAAAGCCTGCAATAACCGATTCACTTCGGCTTGCACCACCATCTCACACACCTGCCAAAGACTTTGTCTCTGCCACAAACGATCCA